CAATTTCGCTCTCCATATGACACATCATCCTGCATTAAGCAAAGACAAAGCTCTGTAAAGAAAGTAACTGCTGCTGCTTAAAACATTACCTTGACAATAAGATGCACGTGCTGGCACTGAGCCTTTTGCTAAACACAGAGCCTCTCTGGGTCCTTCACCTCACAGTAACAGTAATATAGCAGTACTTCTCCTACCTTGCTGCCCATTGAATAGTAAAGAATAAATAGAAAGAGGATTTTAGATCTGACAGCACAAAAAAAAAATTTAGGATTAACCCTTCAAAAGGCAGCCAATTTTCTCCAGGCCAATGTGAAAAAAAATGGTGGAACTAGCACATGTTTTTCATTTACTTCCAAGAGACAAATATGCACTAAAGTTAGGACAGCTCCCACATTCCTAGTTCTTTGGAAAAGTGACAAAAAATAACCTGCACTATAGAGTACATCTCTGCCAGTAGCTTACAGTGTATTGTGCTCAGATTTCTTTCAACACGCTGGAGACAAGAACTCCTGTTTTCTGGAAACATTTCTGATTGATATTCAGGGATCACCTCCTCCAAGCTCAAGAATGGTCCATCCTAACAAGCAGGAAATCAAGCAAAGGCAACAGGAGGCCTACATGGATGAACAAGGAGTTCCTGGTTGAACTCAAGCATAAAAAGGAAGTGTACAAGAGGTGGAAGCAGGGAGAGGTGACCCAGGAGGAATATACAGACACTGTCTGAGCATGCAGGGATGGGGTTAGGAAAGATAAAGCCCACCTGGAGTAGAATCTGGCACGGGATGTGAAGGGCAATGAGAAGGCCTTCTACAGGTATATCAGCAGTAAGAGGAAGAATAGGGAAAATGTGAGCCTGCTACTAAATGGGGCAGGGACCCTGGTGACAAAGGACACAGAAAAGGCAGAGGTACTGAATGCCTTCTTCGCCTCAATCTTCATTGGTAAGACAGGCCTTCAGGAACCCTAGGCTCCGGAGACCAGGGAGAAAGTATGGAGAAAGGAAGACTTTCTCTTGGTGGAGGAGGATCAGATTAGGGACCACTTAAACAAACTGGATAGACGCAAGTCCATGGGCCCTGATGGGAAGCACCTGAGAGTGTTGAAAGAGCTGGCCAATGTCATTGTGAAGCCACTCAATTATCGTTTAAAGGTCATAGCTATGGGGGGAGGGGGCCTGAGGACTAGAAGTAAGCAAATAACAAACCTATCTTCAAGAAGCCAAGAAGGAGGATCCAGGGAACTACAGGCTGGTCAGCCTCACCTCGATCCCTGGATAGGTGATGGAGCAACTAATCCTGGAAACCGTTTCCAGGCACATGAAGGACAAGAAGGTGATCGGGAGTAGTCAGCATGGATTCACAAAAGGGAAATCATGCTTAACCAACCTGATATCCTTCTATGATGAGATGACTGGCTTGGTGGATGAGGGGAGAGCAGTGGATGTTGTTTATCTTGACTTTAGTAAGGCTTTTGACATGGTCTCCCATAACATCCTTACAGACAAGCTGATGAAGTATGGGCTAGAGAAGTGGACAGTGAGGTAGATTGAAAATGGGCTCAGAAGGTAGTGATCAGCAGAGCATCCAGCTGGAGGCCAGTCCCTAGTGGTGTCCTCCAGGGGTCAATACTTCTTCTACATCTTCATTAATGACCTGAATGATGGGACAGAGTGCACCCTCAGCAAGTTTGCTGATGATACTAAACTGGGGGGAGAGGCTAACACACCAGAAGACTGTGCTGCCCTTCAGAGGGACCTGGACAGGCTGGAGAGCTGGGCAGAGAGGAACCTCATGAAGTTCCACAAAGGCAAGTGCAGGGTCCTGCACCTGGGGAGGAATAACCCCATGCACCAGTACAGGCTGGGGGCTGACCTGCTGGAAAGCAGCTCTGCAGGGAGGGACCTGGGAGTCCTGGTGGACCACAAGTTGACCATGAGCCAGCAATGTGCCCTTGTGGCCAAGAAGGCCAATTGGATCCTGGGGTGCATGAGGCAGAGTGTTGCCAGCTGGTTGAGAGATGTGATTCTTCCCCTCTTCTCAGCCCTGGTGAGGCCACACCTGGAGTCCTGTGTCCAATTCTGGGCTCCCCAGTACAAGAAAGACATGGGTTTACTGGAGAGAGTCCAGCAAAGGGCCACAAAAATTAAGGGACTGGAGCATCTCTCATATGAGGAGAGGCTGAGGGAGCTGGGATTGTTTAGCCTAGAGATTAGGCTCAGGAAGGATCTTATCAATGTGTATAAATATCTGATGGGAGGATGTCAAGGGGACAGGGCCAGACTCTTCTCCGTGGTGCCCAGTGACAGGCAAGAGGCAATGGGCACAAACTGAAACACAGGAAGTTCCATCTGAACATAAGAAAACCCTTTTTTTACTGTGAGGGTGATTGAACACTGGAATAGGCTGCCCAGAGAAGTTGTGGAGTCTCCATCCTTGCTGACTCTGCTTGAGCAGGGGGGTTGGACCAGATGCTCTCTGGAGGTCTCTTCCAACCTCAACTACTCTGTGATTCTGTGATTAGTGTGTCATTAAAAGCTACATTTGAAAAATTTGTATCCTTAGAATCCAATTACTTGAATTATCTAAATTATAAGCTACCAATTGTTCAAAGGGATAGATTTTGGTTGCATTCTGAGGAGTACAAGCTGGACTCTCATGTGTAGGAAGATTCTTCTCCATCTACTTATTCATACCTGAGGAGCCCTTAACATACCTGCAAGGGAGGAGAAAAGCGATCTATGTAGAGCATGACCTACTATTCCTACTCCCTCCTGTTGCTGGCTTTCCTTGCTGAGTGTCTGTTTATGGACATGAGGTGTAGAGCAACACTAGCACAGGTCTGCTTTGACACTGCAGGAAAAATACAGTTCTGGGGATTTGATCCTGTAAAACCCCCATCTTTGGCATTGATTATACCAGTATAAAGTGGAGGCAAATGCTTCTGTATCAGCACAGCAGTAATGCTTTGTGCAGGTGTAAGCAGTTGTGAAAGGTGCTCAAGAGTAGGAATGAGTTCAAGGAAACTGGATGAATCTTAGAGGGGATCTAAACCAGCTGAGTAAAGGAAGATCTAAAGCTAAGGTCTTTTCTATACCTCTAAGTTTCACTTGTCTAAATTTCATTTTAAAAAATACAAAGTTAAACTTGTGCAAGGTGATGTGAGATGTGAGCCAGATGCAAGCCTGCTTACAGCAAGTAAGTTTTTCAAATTGTCAAGGGATTTTCTTACCTTGTTAGATCATCAAAGCTAATGTGGCTTGTGTCTGGGAGCCTACCAGAAACCTTGGGACTGCCATGAGTGTGCCCACTTAGCATATTTGCCACGTCTGCAGAAGCTGGGTTACTCAATGATGTACTAGCTTCGTCAACCATCTTAAAATTAAACTTATTTGTTGCCCAGTGTCAGTGGAATGCTGTGTAGCAACATGTCTGTGAGTACTAGAGAGGTCTTTAAATGTTTGCAGCACTTCCACCATACTCTATCTCCAAAGATGGATGCAGGGCACTTAGTTATCAGAGCAAAGGAAGTGTCAGCCACAAACAGGGAAAATGCCTGAAACATATCACAAATATAATCTCTTAGGATTTATGTTGCTTCCTGGATCCTGTCAATTAACTGTTTTGATGGCCCAAAGCTAGATAAAAGAGAAATCCTGATAACCCATGTGGTACTTAAATAAGCTTGTTTGGGTAAATAAATAGTTGCCCATCAGAGATGCTGTTTCTGTTGATGCTTTCAAGTTTACCTATCAGGGATCCCAAGGTTGGGAACAGGGGTGCAAGCAGGGCCAGGTTAGGCAGGGCTGACACTACCGTTCCATACTGAGGACAAGACCAAGCCCCTCAGGAATAACACCTTCTTTCTCTCAAAGTGTTTTCCTGGGAGCGTCACATTCCTGTTTGTACCTGTTGTTTCCTGGGACTCTCAGCAATGAGGCAATACAAAACCACTACTGGACCCTGACTGCTTAGCTCACAGAAATGCACACTTCCCAGTGCAATCCCAGCCAGTCTGAGGCACACATTCCCTTAGAATCAGCTAATCCCAGGCAGCAGCCTTGGAGAAATGTACCCCATTTACTTTAGGGTGGCAGGAGGGAAGCAATGCTCTGATGTGTTGCATAATCAAGGTGTGCAGGAACACAAGTTGATGACAGGTCAGCAGTGCCTGTTCCCCATCCTCGGGACAACTAAGCGTTACATTTGAATCACAACTCCGGCCTCACACAGCCTCTCCAGTGGCCAACAGTCCTCGGCTGCCCGACGTGGCACCACCTCTCAGGTGCCCCCTCCTGGAGGCAGCAAGGAGGTACCCCTCCCTGTACTTGCAGGGCTCTCCCATGCCCCTGGGGGATGACATGGGGGCTGAAGAAAGGGGCACGTGGTCTCTCCAGCCATTTGATTGTAGAGGGACAGCAGGGATGCATACGGCTGTACCTGGATCTTGTTGGCCTGCTTTCACCAATGCGTGGGGCCAGTCTCCAGCGGGGGGGAGGGGGAAGGAGCTTAAGCTTAGTGCAGTGTTAGCACTGCACCCCAAAGTACCACGTCTGAGATCTCATCTCACTCAGCAGGGAGAATCACACATCTCCCCAATCCCTGCATCCATCACTTTTCCATCGCCCTGGAAACGCTTCGTGGGAGGGACCCAGCAGCATTCTCGATCCAGCGGCTCAGGTAATATACATGCCACCAGGCGTCAGCAAGACAGCCCAAGAGTGGGGCCCACAGTGCGCAATTCACACGCATGGTGGGCCGTCTTAGCCTTCAAGAGAGGCTAGGTGCGAGCCAGATGGAATAAGTGAATTTCACTTCATCGATAATTAACTAACTTTGTGTCTATTCTTTTCCCCATTTTAGAAATCATCCGAGTTCCTAGTACTATGGAGAAGCAGGTAGAGCAGCGCCCACTCCCATAGAGTTGCGGAAGTCAGGAGAAGAGAAGACAGTAGCTTTTCCTCCTGCTCTTTTACCCCGGAAGAAGACTGAGGCAAACAGGAAGTAGGGAAATACTCTGATCCTTGTTGCATAGTCTCTATATAGTGCTCTTCCTTCTTGCCTCCTGCTGTGGGGTACGGTATTCCTGCTTCTCTGCAGATTTTGTGCAGTGGCAGTGCTGATATGTCACGGCGGCGGCACAGTGACGAGAGTGATGGTAAGCGTGGATGGATGGAGTACCAGGGTCTGGACTCCGCATGCCCTGTGCTTGGGGCCGCGTCGTCCTTGGGGCTGGGGGAGGAACAGATCTCAGCTGAAGTGCCTTTTCCCCTCCTCCTCCTCCTCCTTCCCCCCCCCGCGGCGCTGCCTTGCCTTAGACTCGGGGTGGTAGGGATTCACTCTGTCCCTCTGCCAGGACTTGGTCCTGCTCGTCGCCCTACGGGACGCTGTAGTGAAGCGCTCCACGGGGTGCAGGCTCGTTCCTGGGCCGCCTTTCCTAGCTGTTTGGCTGGGGACAACCTGGCGCCACTGTGGGGCGCTCTGGTGTAAGGACCTGGCTTGTGTAACTAGGGCTACAGACTGTCCCTAAGCAGTCTCTTGGGTCCGCCCTAAATATAGGGAGTAGCAAACTGATCGGAGCACGCTGCGCTGCGTACGGATCGCCAGAAGGACATGTTCTTGTATCTTGTAAAGGCTTTCATGAAAAACGTTCAGAAAACATTCATATTGGAGGACTAGAGACGGCTTCAGAAACTGAAACGGATGTTTCTTTTAATAACGTAATTCTGCATTAGTGGAGAATGGGACAGTTTCATGACCAGCTTTTTCAACTTTTAATTGCAAAGATAAACACTCTAAAAAACACTCTATGTGTTTTTTAACTACACTCTTTTTTCTTAATTGTTTTGATGTGCATTCTTTTTCTAAGCTTTCAAAAAAACCCTAATAATATAAGCAAGGATTCTTAAAATATTTTATTTTTTCATATGCTGAAAGCATGTGAAAAAGCACTAAGGAAATATGAAATAGCTGGTAACTCTAATGTGGGTTTAGCTTATCCCACATATACTGTCTCACACTGTAGCAGAAATGCAGAATTAACCCTAAATAAAATTTGAGATAGCTACAATGTTAACTGTTTATGCTTCATGGACTAGGTCATCAGTAATATGGGTATACTTCTGTTTTTCATGTTTATTGGGTCAATCTTGAATGCTTTGTCAGTTTTGGGGTTTTTTGTTTGTTTGTTTTTAATAGTATGTTGCTGGAATGGCAAAAGTATATAGAGAACTTTTTTCTTTTTTAAAAAGCAGGCAGCTAATAACATATTTAATGTATTGAAACAGGGCAACCTCACAAAAGGAGGAGAACATCTGAGCCATCTGAAATCGAGGAGAGACTTGAATCTTTAATATGCAGGGTGGGAGAAAAGGTATCAGTACTATTTCCATGTTGTTTTGTGGCTTAGGGTCCTTAAACATAATAGATTGTTTTCTTTGTTTTATATGCTGCTATGTGTTAGTAGTTCACTAGTGGTCCAAAAAGAGAAAATCCTTATCTGAGATCAGTTGGAAACTTTTTAACTGGAAAATTGTTGGCCTTTGCAAAACTGGATTTTTAAAAAGGAAATTCTTAAATGTTAAACCTTTGATACATTGGTGAAGTATAACTAATAAAGAGGTATCATTCAAAATCTGTGAACATTATCATTAATTTCCCCCTACTCCTTGGAAAATTTGAAAGCAATGAGATGCGTACAAAAAAAAAAAGAAAAAAGTCTAGCCGTGTTACAACTGATCTTGGAACCTGGCTGGGTTTGGTGTTAGTAACAAGTGGAGAGAAAAAAGGATGAGGACAAAAATGATGGGTCTTAACATTAATTTAGCCACATACAAGCTGTGAAGTTCTTTCACTTCCCCTGATGTCATTAATATAATGTTTAATTCAGTTATTGAGAGATCTCTGAGGCTATGTTAACCCTTGCTTCCCAGGAAAGCACTAGAGCTCCTTGCTGTGGAGAACTCACAATTGAGACTGTTCTTAGTCATTTCTACTTCTTATTTCTAGCAAATGAGAGAGATTGTGCATTCCTAATGGATTTGAATAATTACTTCCAACAAGAAGAAAATGTGAAGTAATATTTTGTTTCATCTGATTTGCTTGTCTTCCAGTTGTTACTGAGGGGATAGTTGATATGCCTGATTGATGCGGAAACACTGTTTTCTTTCTTAGAGTACTTCCTCTCTGGAGAGCAACTTGGAGGGCCTAGCTGGTGTCTTGGAAGCTGATCTACCAAACTATAAAAGCAAGATTTTGAGAATTCTTTGTACTGTGTACGTATGCAGGAGATTTGTGAGATGCTCTGTTATCTATATTAAATAGATAAGTTTAAGTATTTTAAGTACTTTAAATGCTGTGAAGAGCTGTTAGTTCTTGAACACTGTTATAGCTTAGGGTTTGTCTTACTCCAGGCAAGAGAAATTTGAGAAGAAGCTTAGTCAGTAGTAGATATAAATCAAGGAAAATGCCTCTGTACAGTACTCTCACTTGAAATGTGTGCACAAGGTCATAAGCAGATAGAGTAGACCCCAGAGCTGCTTTCTGACTGCCATGGGGAATATGCTGGGTAGTATCTTGTTTCTGAATGCAACAGTCACTAAAAAAATACCAAATCGATTGAGTGCCAGTTCTTATCTCTGTATTCCTACTTTGCCTATTCCCCTTTTCTGGGGCTGAGGTGCTCCTGTCTCCATGAGCCCACCATCTAGTAGTGGAGAGACAAAGTAGCCAGAAGTAGGCTCCTTCCTTGGCTAGCAGCACTCCTTCTTCTCCCTAGCAAAGCACTGAAACAAAACTTCTTTGTGTGTTGGGTCACTGGTCACGTGTCCCAGGAGAGGGTTGTGTGGGGTCCACAATAGTATACCACGCTGGGGGAGGATGCGGTGCCAGCTTGTGTTATAGCTGCATGGAATCTTTCAAATCCATTTTGTAGCACTGTTCATAAACATAAATCAAACAGTAAATGTTTCCCACAGCAGCTGAATGCCTCTGAAGGCTTACACATTTACAAAACATATTTGGAAAAAAAAAAAAGTTGGGTATGGTAGGACCTAACCTATTATTTCTTCAAGACCCTATACTGAAAATCACTTAAGGTTGAGAAACTTATAATCAAATTGAAATTTCAAGTGATGTAAAATGTTTAAATCTCTTGTGTAATCTTGCTGTTCTAGTATAATAAAATGACTTCTAAAATGGTTAACTTAAGACAACTTGTTCAACGTGGTATAAATTTTCTTTTGTATTATTCGGCCATGTTCCCATAGAGTATATAAAAGTTCTGGAAAATGAAGCAGAACAGTTGGAATGGTTTCTAATCAATATTTTTTAATAGATTTTTAAATGACTGATACTTTCAAAACTCTCTGTTAAAGGATATATTTTGGCAGTATTTATATTACTAGAAGTTTTTGTCATTCCAGTCTGATACTTTATGCCCTTTAGTTTCAATAACAGCTTTTGTTCAGATTGTGTAAGGTTTGCTGAGTTGGATACTGCAGCTGAAAATGTCTTAGTGTGGCTGCTATAGGTTTTAGAACCTGCTATAATCCTAAATGTTTACTGGTTAAAAAGAATTAAAGAGAAAATATCTTGAAGTGTTGTTAAAAGTAGCATATACGTTCCTAAAGGATTGATGTTCTGTAAACTATTTTCCACAGGACAGATAAATAAGGTCAGGTTAGCAGTTTACCTCACTTAAACACAGACAAGTTTAACCTATACTAAGCAGGTTCAAAAATGCTTTGTAATGCAGTGGTTGGCACATGATGAATCAACATCTAATACAATGCTTGTTTTTCTTCATTTAAATCAGTGCACGTCTATTACCAGAAAAGCTTACCATTTACACAACGTTAGTTGGGTTGCTGAATGCCAGGAACTACAACTTTGGTGGGGAATTTGTAGAAGCCATGATCCGTCAGCTCAAAGAATGTTTGAAAGTGAATATGTATAATGAAGCTGAGTATTTAGTAAGTGGGATCTCCCCCTTCCCCGTCTTCCTTCCCCCCCCCCATATGATTTATTTTTCCTTTTGACATCTAGAGGGGCTGGAGATTTTCTGTATGCAACGTGGTCTCTTCTGCTATCCAAAGCTGTGCTCCATAGACGTGTTAGGAGAAAATGTGTGGTATGCAAGAGATTGTCTTCCTAAGGAGAGGAAAAATCATGTTATGATTGCAAAACTGACCTCCAACTGTGTGTTTTCCCATTGCCAATTCTCAGGAAATCAGTGGTCTGTTCCCCCTCCCCCCTCATTTGTTCTACAGGAGAATCTAGAAGGTTGATGAAAATTATTCATTTCTACTGTGCTCAGAGACAAATGTTGATCCTTTTGGGTCCTGTTATTTTAAAAGAATAAACAAACAAACAAAAAACTTATTCCCAAGTAGATAGGGTGTAATTGATGGCTGTAATCGGTCCTGTGTGTTCATCCTGCTTGTGAGGAATGAAGACCAAGCAGGTAATTTTCAGTGCTGACTCATTTTGAAACCGCTACCATTTGATTAGCAGCACACAGTTAGTTTCGCATATTGCTAAAACCTGAAAATACCAGCAGTTTTGGGACAGTGTCTGTGAAACTTTTCAAAGTTATGGATAAGTGACCATAGAAATCTATTTTGTATGAAAGTCATGTATGAGTGGTATACTGATTCAACTCTGATGTGTGTTGATTCCCCCCCATCTCTATTTCTTGGAGTCGAACAGATTGTAGAGACTATTCCAATAAAGTTTAATAGGCATTGCTTCAAGTCATGTTGCTCAAGGTTATGGGGGGAGTCTGTACAGGAAGCATTATTTTTTATGGGTGTTATCATTTTATTGTTGGTTTGATATAGCAGTTGAAGTAATGCTTATTTATTCTTGTGTAGCTAATTACTAATTAAGTATTAATTTAATAAAATGAGATTTTTTTTGTTGTTCATTAGGTTCGTTTTCTATCTGATCTTGTGAATTGTCATGTAATAGCTGCACCTTCGATGGTAGCCATGTTTGAGAACTTTGTGAGCGTGACACAGGAGGAAGATGTACCCCAAGTAAGCAAAGTAACTGTAGCCTCAAGTGTTGTGCTGTTTTCACGCAATTTCACTTTATCGCTGATTCTATGCTTATGCAAGTTTCTTAGCATGACTAAAAGGATTCTGTGGCAGTTAGTATGCATATACAGTGAAATAATTAGGTGTTCTGTAGTGAGGTAGCTCAAGTGAATTAATTTTACTTCACTTCTGGCAAGTACATAATGCTCAGTGAGTTCTGCCAAGTTTATTTAACAGCTGTGATATATAGTTAATCTGCAGAAAGATTCCAAGAATAATATTTGTTCTTTTTATGCATGAATGCCATGTTCCAAATGAAATACAACAACTTTCAGGTAAGAATGGTGGGGGGTGGGTTGGGTTTTTTTGTTTTTGTTTTGTCCCCCCGCCCCAAGCTACCAATCCAGAAAGCACACTGTGATGAGTGCATAGCAGTAGCCTAAAGAATTCATAGGTCATATTAAGGCCACTGTAACTGTGCTGCACCTTACGAGTTACATAGTTCTAGCATATGGAAGGGTCGACTACTAAGCTGATAACTTAGTTCAACTTCTATCTCACTTTTTTCTTTGTAAAGTTTTAAAAGAAATTCTTCGTAATTCTTTAAAAGAAATTCTTCAGGAAACTTGGCATTGGTAACATTGAATGATTTGAGTAAAGAGGCTCTGTGGAAGGGTTTCTGTGTGGGTTTCCAAATATGTTGCACATCTAAATGTGCCTCTTGAAATATATGTTCCTGTTTTCAAACAGAGCCTCTTGACGTGTCTTCAGGAACTTGTACTGACACATAGTTGTAATCCCAAGTATTGTTTGCTGCTTTAACTGGGGTTGATCTCTACATCCCCTTAAATACTTCTGAGTTTGCTACTCTTGGCAATGAGACAAATTAGGGATTCTTTTTTTTTGAGAAACTTACTGAATTTATTTCCTGTAGGTAAGATGTGATTGGTATGTGTTTGCATTTCTGTCATCTTTGCCTTGGGTTGGAAAGGAGTTGTATGAGAAGAAGGATGCTGAAATAGATCGCCTCTTGTCCCACACAGAAAGCTATCTGAAGTAAGCTATAACCAGTAAAAATATACTCTTTCTAGTACCTATTCAAGTATGGATAAATAGCTTTGATTATTGTTCATTTAGAAATACTCTAAAAATCTTAGATCCAAACAACTGTGAGGAAAAGACCCTGAAAAATAAAATAGATGGAGAGTCTTATGAATTTAAAAAACTAAAGTATCTCTCTCTTAACTTGTATGGTAATATTTTTCTGATGCATGTGTGACTATATTACTGTGACTAGACTGCTACTCAACTGGTTTTTTGCATTCCCTCTAAGTGATTCAAGTTAACATTGTCATTGAGACAAGGTGATAGTGATAATTTAAGTGTTCGCAAACATGCTTTTTATGCTGCTGCAGATTTCATCAGCTAAAGAGACCAAATAGTAGTCAACTCACAATAAGAAAGATTACTTTCTTAGATCAGCTTTTTAAACATTAGGTTTTTTCTTTCCTGTATAAGCAGGCGCCGCCAAAAGATTCATATACCCTTGTTACAAGTTTGGACTGCTGATAAACCACATCCACAAGAAGAGGCAAGTAGGCTTTACTTACTTTATATTGTTTAAAAGATGCTTAAAAAGAATTATTTGGCTGAAGTGTTCTTATTTTGGAAATCTAAAATTAAAAGGCACTTTAAGAAAATTTCAATGCTTTTGAATTGTCTCCCATGTGTCTTTATTACTAATGGATCCTAGGTAAGTAGTTCTCTTCCAAGTCTTGGGCTAAAACTTGCAGTTGTATTGGGTGAGGGGGAAAGCATTTTGTTGTTTAGCGACAATCCCCTTGAGGAAATGCTGCTAAACAAAGAATGGTCACAGAATGTAATATTCCTGGGAAATTGGGTTGCAAGACTGTGCTTAAAAATACCTTTTGGAGAAGTAGGATGTAAATCCAGTGTATCTGATATTTCATGTCTTTTTCAGTACTTGGACTGCCTTTGGGCCCAGATTCAGAAGTTGAAAAAAGATCGTTGGCAAGAAAGACACATTCTGAGGCCCTACCTTGCCTTTGACAGCATTCTTTGCGAAGCATTGCAGCATAACCTGCCTCCGTTCACTCCTCCACCTCACACTGAAGATTCCGTGTACCCAATGCCAAGGGTTATTTTTAGGATGTTTGACTACACAGATGACCCAGAGGTATGTAATTGCTAGGGTGGAGTTGAATGTGCAGTGGGGGTCATGAGGCAGTGCTGGTCAAGGTGCGGTGTCCCCTCTCCCAGAATGTTTAGTGGTGTGAAGGTCCCAGTAATTACGTTTTGATACTGCTGGGGAGGTTAACTAGATGATAAAGTTACTGTCGGCAGGTAGATTAGTGAAGATTAAAATTCAAGAAGTATAATTTTTCAAATGTTTTCATTAAGGATATCTATCTTGAATGGATTCTCTGATGTCTAAAAGTGTAACTGTGTTTGGGTAGCAGCCTCTCCTTCTGTGAGAATGGGAACTTTATACATTGAAGACTATCCTCTACCTCTCTGTTGAAATTGGTTGATATAGATCATGGAACATAGTGGTTGAGTTGGGTTAGATCAAAAGTCCATCTAGCCCAGTTTCTGTCTCTAGCAGTAGCCAAGAGCAGATATTTTGACAAGAGCGTTTATGCATAAGGGAAGAAAAAGTGCTTTCTTCAAGTGCTCTTCTACCTGCTAACTTCATTTGATGGCCCCTAATTCTTGCATTGGAAGAGACAATGAACATTTGTTCTCTCCGCCCTTTCCAGGCCATTTATGATTTTCTAAATCTTTAGCATATCCTGGCTCAACTGTGTTTTTTCTAGGCTGAATGATAGTAGCCGGTCTGATTGTTCCTTATACAGAAGCTGTTCTATACTCTAGGTCACCTCCACCACCTTTTTCTCAACCTTTTTCAGTTCTGCTATGCTGCTATAGCCTGTTGGGGGTGGGAGGGAAGGAAGAGTGGCAAACATGACTAGAACTGCATATGGAATTGAAGATGTGGATGCACTATGAACCTATACAGGTGGCATAAAGTTCTGTGTTGTTTCCTATTCCTTCTGTGATAAGTCCTGGTTGTTATTGAACGCTGAGCTGAGGTTTGCATGGAACTATGTCACAACCAAGTTCATGTTCCTGAACAATAAAGGGCAGTTCAGTGCTCACCACTTTATACACAGAGTTGGTCTATTTTTCCCATCTGTAGATGAAAGTCAACTAGCCATTTTATGTTTATCTTCTGCTTTAACACCTAGCTGCTGAGGTGTGGTGTCCCCCCCCCCCCCCCCCGCCTGGAGTTTTTTATGGATTGCCCTTGTTGTTTATACTAAGTTATGTAAAAGTAGCATCAGCAAGCTTTTTCATCTACAATGTCTGCTCCTTTTCCAGATAATTTATAGATATGGTGAACAGCACAGGTCCCAATTTATAGATATGGTGAACAGCACAGGTCCCTGGATAGATCCCTGTGGGATTCTACTGGTGACCCTCCTCTGCTGTGAGAATTGATCATTTACTTATCTTTTTAAGCAGTTATTTATCTGTATAAGGACTTCCCCTCTTATACTGTGGTTGCCTTTTGAAAATCCAGCTAGGCTGTCAGCCAGGTTTCTCTTATCTATGCTTGCCTGTTGACTTCCTCAGAGAGCTCTGATAAGTTTGAGAGGCCTAACTTTACAAAAGCTGTGCTGACTCTTCTTATGCTTATGCCTCTTAATACTATTATTTTTTTAAGTTTCCAGTAACTTACCCAATGTGGAAGTCAACCTTGCTGGTCTGCAATTTCCTGGAACACCTTTAAAAATTGATATCATCTTAGTTTAGATATCAAGTTGATTTTTGAATGAGAGGATATGCAGCCCAATTAGTAGGTCAGCTATTTCATTCTCAAGTTCATTGAGAACTCCTGGGTGGGTAATCACTTGTTGACATGAGCTGAAACTGTTCACTCCCCCCCCCCCTTTCCAGTTGTTTTGTAATCTAGCAGAATTTCTCTATCTAGGCACAACTTCAGCTTTCATGATTCCTTTTGCTACCCTCTCTTGTACTCCTGTTTAGCCAGTCTGGTTTCCTTCTGTCTCATTGCAAGTCTCTCAGTAAATGGTATGCATTTGCTGTGTGCCACCCTCAAAAATGTAACTTTTTAGCTGCCCCTTTTAGCTTCTATTTATAACACCCTTTTTGAAGTTAAGTATATTAAAATGAGAAAATGCAGCAGTAGTGTCCCCTCCCCACTTTGTTATCCTGCAAGGATGTTGACCCTAAGCAAGTTACCTAACAGCCACTCCGTTACAGAGGCTGTAACAACTTGGCAAGGAAACAAGTTAGGAGTTACTGCTTCTCTTGAGTTCCTGACTAGTTGTTCCCTGAAGCAGTCATTGATTGTGTCTTTACAAAATGTCAACATGTGATGTCCTAGTGTGACATTGGTCCAGACTACATGGTACTATTGCATTTCCTGCCTGTGCAGCTTCTCTGAGCTTCCTCAGCATGTTATAGCCTGTGTTGTTGTCACCGTTGGTCATGTAGCCAAATACTACATCTCTTCACCTGTTTAGGTCTGGAATTTCAATCCATCAGGGTTCTGCTACTTATTTACATGTTTAGCTTGTCGATTTGATTTGCTTCTATGCTCCCTTTAACATGCAATACCACTCCTCTACCAGCATGGCCTATGCTTTCCCTGCGCGCTTTATATCTTGATGGATCTTTAGTTTTACAATGAGATTGCCCTTGCCTAGTCCAAAATTTCTGCTGTTTTGTGACCAGAGCTGTTATAGCCACAGTGGGAAGAAAAAGTAGGTACAGTCATCTCAGTGCTGTTTAGTTGTCTTTTCTGGAATACCGATACATAACTGGTCACATTACAGAGAATTAACAGTGCGCTTGTGAACTAATTCTGTCCTACTTTTTAAGATATTTCTTTGTGTTTTTGTTTTTTGGGGGGAAGATAACTATTTTATTGGCTCTGAGAATTATCTTTTGCAAGTTTTACACTTGCTATAAATATAGACTTGTGATGTTTTGGGTCTAGTTTTGCAAGGCTGTAAAGGATAATAGAGTACTAGTATGCAATCAAGTTCTTGCAGCTTGAGTTCTTGCATCAGCTGATGCACGATAACAGACAGTGAACACACTTCTAAGTGACATTGTGGACTAATTGTGAAGTAAAGCATGTTTTTTAAGCTAGCTTTTATAATATGCTTTTATAACCAGCATAAAGGCAGAACATTGAGATGATTGAAGTTGCAGTGTTTTCACTTTGCAACTGGAGCAGGCTGCATTGTCAGTTTCCAGATCACTGATCTTCTCTGCTGTAACTGAAAAAGATGAAGTGTGTATTAATATACTCTTGATGTATAATAATTCTATGTAACTTGTATAAACAGAAGACACAAAATGTGAATTGTTTAGCATGGTCCCTGGTGCCTAAATATGGAAGTACTGAAATCTTGTATGTGAAATTAACAAACTAGAAACTTCACCAAAGCTATGTTTTATAGTAAAAATGGATGCAGTTGAAATCATAGCTGGCTGTTTGTTTATAAGATTTTAAAATCATTTAGGAAATACAGTACAAAAATCAAAAATCTTTTCCTTAAGTTACTTACAATAACATTGTATTTGGTAACTTTGTACTGAAGTTTGAAGCCTATGTTTTAGTCATTGACTGTAAAACTTGCTGATATTAAATCTTCATGAGTGCCTAATTCAATCTTCAAGTTTTATTTTTATTTATATATATATATGTGTGTACGCGCACACATTTTACGTATGTGTGTGTAATTGTAGATCTCTACATTAGCAGTGATCTCTAATCAATTTTGATTCTGTTTTAATAGGGCCCTGTCATGCCTGGCAGTCATTCTGTTGAAAGATTTGTAATAGAAGAAAATCTCCACTGCATCATCAAATCCCATTGGAAAGAAAGAAAGACTTGGTAAAGTGCTGCTTATTGCTATAGGGTTCCAGCACTGTTTATATACCATCATGGCTTCCCCTAACATCAAGGACCTTCAAAGTCCAGGAATGGTTATGCAAAAGCTTGAGATCAAGTGTTCAGTGAACTATGGTTAATGCTGTTATCTGGAATAATGTGGGGCTAGAGTATCCTGATCATGAATTGTTTATATAATTCAGTAGGGCTGAGGCACCCTGATGAATGCATCCTGGATTATCCAGGAGTTCCCTACAGAGTATGGCACAGACCCACTCTCAGTCTGCAGTGCTGCCAAGACTCGATGTGCTTGTACCATGCTTTCCAGCATAAGCACAGTGAGTGTTGAACTGGCTCTGTCTGGAGGTGTCCTGCTGCTCCTGATTTTTTCCTCATCCCATTCTTTTCTCCTCTTTTTGTATTTATATTGCAAAGGTATTTGAGCTAACTCTGCATGAAGTCAGTACAGTGTCAGTGGACGTTAATAAAAGTTCTATGCAGCTGTAGGAAATGATGCTACAACAATGTAGCAAATTTCAATGCAAGACCTTATGGGGAAGGAAGGTGGTTTAATTTTAAAATAAAACTGAAGTAAAACTCATTCACACTCACACTTTCAGGCACCAAAACGTGAGTGTGTCCAGGGGAATGTACTCGAGGCCTTCTCTTCTTTCTGGTGCTTTCATACCCAGGCATTCCCATTCATTCTCCGTTCAGGACAATCTTAACACTTCTATTGCAATTCTTCATGCTGCCAGGAAACAGTCCAGCTTAATTTCTGCCAAATTAGTATCTGATATGGATAATTGGTAACCCAGATGATTTACCACAGATATTTAGCTCTTTTGTGCTTCCAAGAGCCAGCAAACTTGGTATAGTGTGCAAACAATAGGCAAGAATAGTGTTTTTGGTGGGGGTATGCGATATAGGTTTTTGGTTACAGCTTTTTGATTCAACAGAAACTAGAAATCCAACATTGTTGAAGTTAATGGAGAGAGGCTTTATTTCCCCAAAGAAAGTAAGGCTAGAGGGAGATTATAAGAAGTGCCAGAGAGCTAAAATTTGAAAAATAGCTTTTTGTTGGCTTCTTATAAATGATGGATGATGCTGTATCTTTTAATCAATTCATTATTTGTAACAAACATGAATATGTCTTGTATGGCCTGTTATTTTGATGACTTGAGAATGACTGGAAAGCAAATCTATTGTTTGGATTTTTATTTATTTTTCCTGATATACCAATGTAGTTTTTTTGTCCTTTAATGGACAGATGCCAGCATCATGGGTTACCATGAGGGTTTATGTAAAACTGTTCTGTTTAGCAGTCTGTTCAAGAATTGCTTGGGCGTGGAGATGAAATGCGTCTCTCCAAACTGTGGTTCAGGCACTGCTGGTGTGAGCTTGTGCTGGGGTGTGTGTGTTGTGTGTTTTGTTTGTTTTATGTTCTGTGGATAGATAGACAACTTCAGTCTTTGAGGTCTGTTCGTTTTGCTGGCTTCATAAGGATAAACTCTTGCAAAGAATTAAGTATTTCATTTGTCTGTTTGGTATCTATATCACTCTTGCTGTGTTTCATTCTAAATTAAATGCATCTATTGCTTTGCAGTGCTGCACAGTTGTTGAGCTATCCAGGAAATAATAAAATCCCCTTGAACTACCACATAGTAGAGGTATGTGTTTTACAGATAACCTCTTTCATGGTTCCTTTATTTCTGAAAAAACCCCAATTAACTCTATGATGGATCCATTAAATTACAATATAATTTAGGAGTTGACTGCAGTCCTGCCTGAAGTCAAAAACAAGATTTATTTATTTATTTTAAAAGTGATGTTTAGGAGCCTTGGTCAGGAATCAGGATCTCACAGTGCAACAATATTCCAGGTCATGGTATTTCTCAAGCTGTTATTGAATGTTTCTCTATCTGCTACTCGCACTGATGTGTTAGATGGTCTCGGAGATAGCTTTGCTGAAGTAACTTTTATTCATAAGACCTTTTAAGCAAGTCTTAGTGATCTTCTAATTCACTTGGAAGAATTGTGTAGCAATGCCCCTTAAAGGCATTTGCTGTGAAACAGTGGTGTGTCTCCTTAGTCACCCTTCAAGTTTGGGGTTTTTAAATAATCATAAATATATATTGGAATAGGAATGTAGGTTTCCTCTTGCTGCCTCCTTTCAGTGGATTGTTAATTGCAAGAAGACATAAGATTGTGGAAAGATTACCTTAGATTATCAGGATGGGATTAAGAATACAATTTTACACCAAAGCCCCAAATATTTTGAATGTCCTAAAACTTAGTTTTGGTCAACTTGAGCCACTTTCTGTACTCCAAGTTCAGTCAACAGAAATCTTAGAGCTAGTAATGTTTTTCTGCCCTTAACATCTAAGTATTTTCAGGGACCTTAAACCCTCAAGATGTCCATACGACTGTTTTACACAATATTACTTTATGCTCAGTTGTACGTTACCTCCAAAACAGTAATTGCAGTTCATGATTAAACAGACTATTTAAAGGCCTTGAAAAATTATTTGGTTCAGAAACTCATAGAATCTGAAAATAACCAAGGTTTGTATAGATGTAATTTCACTGAGAATAAATGGAAAGCCCGTATACAAATTGCTTGACCATCACTGCTAATTTCTATCCCCCCCAAATATATTAACTTATTTTAGAATACTAACCTTATTTCTTGTCTACAGATGTTTTTAACAAAGCTACAGTGTTTTAAACCTTAATAGAAGGCTGCAGAATTCACACTTACTTTGCTTATTGCCATTTCCTTGTAAGGCCTGTCAAGTCAATGATACATTGCTTTCAACTACGTTGTAAAAAAGAACTCTATCTGGGAAATTTCCCTCCCTTTGCAGAAGGGCATAGAGCAATAGATATAGCTTAACCTAATTGATATTTTTCCAAACATTAAAGAACACTTTATTTGCAAGGCAGAAGTAAATATAACTTGAAAGCACTCTATCCCTTTTCAAATAAACCCACTTGTAGTGGTGACTGAGGATTAATCACCTGAGGGACCTCATGTCTAAGGTTCATCAGGCCAAGTTCAGAATGCTCCATGCTGCTCTGTAGTCTGTGTAAAACCCTCTGAAGTGTGACCCCTTTCTCTTAGTAGCTCCATATAGACGTATATGTTGGCATTACTGGTGTTTGTCAACCCAAAGTGTCAAAAGAGTTGATATGATCAGGTTGTTGGACTGGCATGTCTTGTTGTGCTTCAGCAACTTTTGCTAGAACTTTAGCTTTACAGGGTCTGGAAATGTCATCAGTGCCCTGATCTTCCTGGTGGCCAGGTAATTTTTTTTTTTCACAAAGTAGGATGTGCCAGTTTGAAACTTGCATCTGAACATTTGGTAATGAACACTTGATGAATTTCAGAAACACAGTCCTATGTACTGTCTCAAGTAGCTAGGGACTGAACTTCCAATTTCTGCCATCTTGTATCCTGAGGAAAGGAGCAGTTTTCTGCCTAACAGATATAGGAAAAAAGAGGGGGGACCCTAACTCAACCAGTTTGTCCAAATTCTCTTTAAATTGAGAGATTCTCTACTTTTTTCTAGTCTGTTCATGCTTTCAAGTCTATCACTGGAAAAAGAAGTTCTAGTCCATGTTAGAGACTGCTTTTTATCTGTTGTTTGTGAAGTCTATTAACTGGTTTAAACCTACGTCCTGATCACAACTTATCTGAAGTCAGAAACCAGCTTCCTGTTCCTTTCTGTTTATTCAGAAGTTAAAAATTGTCACTGAGAAAATACCTGACTAATGAATCAGTTTCTTCATTCCTTTGCTTCAGTTTTAAATCTAATTGAGAATGAACTATAAACTAAACTGAAGTTCAAACATAAATGTGGTAAAGTAGTCATCTCTTAATAGTCCTTGAAGAAGGACGTACATTAATATTATAAACAAACTTGAATAAAAACAGAAGCGTTGATTGTAAGGTTTTCAGCTCTCCAAAAAAGGGTCCTCAGTCAAGTACAAGTATTTGTTAGACGTAACAGAGTTGTTGCATAATGCTAGTCTTATGCATGGCATTAATCTAAAATGATGGGGTAACTAAGGAGGGTTACATTAGTATGGTAAAGAGTTTGCACTATCTTTTGAAGTTCTTCTCTTATTCTCAGAGCATGAGTCTGACAGAATAAAATGGGCCTTGTTTTGGTATATAATTGCTGAAGATGGGCATTGCTGTTCTCAAGTTCAGGATTATGCGGGCTGAGTCTGATTGTGCTCTGATTCTGTGCTTTCTTCCCATGTAGGTAATATTTGCAGAACTGTTCCAGCTTCCATCTCCACCACATATTGAGGTCATGTACACAGCACTTCTCATTGAACTGTGCAAGCTCCAGCCTGGCTCTTTACCACAAGTTGTATCCTTTTCATGCTGCTGAAGAGCCTTTTTAAAATGGAGTCCCCTCTTTTGCTCTATACAGTGATGGAATAGCAATCAATGTTAGCAGTAATAAATTTTCCTTCTCCTGATATTTAGCTGCACGAAACTTTGCCTGTAACACTGCGCACATGAAGGAATAACAGCTCAGCAATCATAAGTTAAGCCTGCATTCACATCTGAGCCTGTTATTTAGCTTGCAGACCAGGCAAACTGTTAGATCTTGTTCTGATGCTTTCTCTGATCTTGTTGAGGAGCCCTCTTGCAGCCAAGGGATGAAATGAACAGCTGTCTTGCATGATGCTGAGCCCTGTTTTACATCAGGACAGCTTGTGGCATGGTCGTAGCCACATTAAAACCTGGAAAAGGAAAGGAAATGATTAATTTCTTAAATCTTTCATTGTAACAACTGTGCAAGTGCTCCTAGTCCATTTCACTGCAGAGCGTAATAGATGAACTAATTTGTTTGTGTTTGCACTGAAATGCACTAGTATTCATAAAGTCAATAATCATTTCTCAGTTTGGAGAGTAGCTAATGGTGAGGAAGGAAGAATAGACTCCCAGCTAATTCCGAGGATTGCATTGGCCCCTTTTCATTGGAGTTTTAGATTGTGACTAATGAGCAGCAATCACTGAAAATGGAGGACCATTAACAGGCATATCTACTGCTAATACCATTCTCAAATCTTCATTCTACTGCTTGATATCACCCAATGATTGTAATCACATAGTCTCAGTGATGAGAACTTAAGCTATCCCTAGAATTGTGTGGACCTGCATGCAGTAAGTATTAACAGAGACGCAGCAACAAAGGATCAGGTTTGGCTGACCGTGATATTTGTGTCAGGCAAGTGTGAATACACTTTCTTGAGCTATTAATGATGAGCAAAGATGGCTGTTTGGTTAAGCAACAACAGGAGCATATGATACTAAAACTGTGACACCATAAAAATGTGGTCCATAATGAGGTTGATGTCTGTCCATATCATTAGTGTGCAGTTTTTGTTTTCTTATGGTGGGAATTCTGGCTTCCAGTAAAAGCAGCTAATGGTCTTATTGCAATTTATGGAAGAAAAACAGACTTGGATTAGAGAATAGATGTTACTTATTGGAGAAAACTACATTGTTTTTTGTTTGTTTGGGAGAGGGTTTTTTTTGTTTCTTTGTGGTTTTTTTTCTTTCTTTTTCTTCCCCTCCCCATTTTCAAAATGGGGTAAGTCATGATATAGAGACAGGGAGCTGTCAGTAGAAAGTTGATGAAATCATCTCTGAAAAAATGGAGAGAGTAACTTATGATTTATCAGATGCTTCTCTGTTAACTTTAAGAAACTTTCAGCTTGCACAAGCCACAGAAATGCTTTACATGCGCTTGGATACAATGAATACTACATGTATAGACAGGTAAGCATGTATTTTGGGGACAACGGAAAACGTTTCTCATTTTTCTTGTGCATTGGATATTGATGCATTTGTGAAAAGGATCATCTGAAAACCTCATTAAAACACTTTGGTGCTATACAAAATGTTTTTGGGGGTCTGGACTTGAGCCATCTGAAGAGAAGGTAAGGGACTGACTGACTGCTTGCCTCTCCTCCCCAGAAACATTCTCCTCTAAGCCACTAGTCTGGCTAGCTATACGGTGCAGCTATAAAAACTGACAACTCTTCCACATCCGTGCCCTCTTCTGTTATGTACTACTGTGTCCTCCATATTGGCCGAAAGAAGGAAAGGGCTGGAAGTGGATTTATGGGAAGGTTAACTAGCTAGAAGAGAGCAGTGGTGTTTCTGTGGTTTGAGTGAAGTCTGCATTATGTAGAACTAAAATTACTATGCAAAAATGTAAAAATCTGTAGACTTGTGCTAACTTTTTTCGCTGCTTATTTTAGTAAGTCATTAGTCTTGTGTATATACACCAGAACAGGAAAGGCTGCACGTGTGTCCATAAAGGCTGGCTTTTGACTCTCTCAACTCATTTTTTTTGTATGGGTCAACATGGATGTCTATTTAATGCCTTTATGACTACAAATTGGAGAGTTTGGGCTTATCTTTGAGATTTTCTTATAAATGTATCCTACTTGTCAAGTAGGAAGGTTTTGGTTTTTTTGTGGATGTGTGGTGGGGTGTGTGGTGGGTTTTGGTGTGGTGGGGTGTGTGGTGGGTTTTGTTCTTGCACTTCTGGTATTTAATAGAGTTTTCTTCTTTTAAAAAAGGTTCATTAACTGGTTTTCTCACCACCTGAGTAACTTTCAGTTCCGTTGGAGCTGGGAAGATTGGTAAGTCTCTGTCTCCCTCTCCATCAGAACTTAAGCCTTTAAACTTATCCAGCAAATGTCACAGCATAGCGGTCCCATTAACTGCTTTTTCACTAACACTTCTGGTGTCCCCCCCCCCTATTTACCACCATTCTTTGTTAGATGAGCTTGGTAATCTTTAGTCACTATAAAAACAATTCCTGTTTTGTGTAATGAATCTCCAGCCCATAGTGTTTTGTAAACTGTGGAAACTTAATTTGCTTGTGGATTTTTGTCCTTATCCCCTCAGTCAGTTGTTTGCAAGCTTTTCAGAAGGGTTCTCCTACTTAACTGTAATTTGCCTTGACTGTCCTTCCCTTTGGTCCCTGCATTCATATGTATAACCTCATTCTCTGAGCACTGTCCTAACCACCCCTCCTCCACACACAAACAAATATTTTGATCTTTTGGCTTCTAGCAGGAGTTCCCTGCACCCCCTCAGTGCCTAACCATAGCTTTCCCAAAGCCTTACATTCCAGGTATCATGACTTCTGCTTACTCCCATCCTGTCCTGCTCCCACATATAAAGACAGACCACTTGAGGACTTAGTCCTCCCTGCAGTCTTCTGCAGCCTGCCATCATACCTGCTTCCCATAGCCAATGTGCTTAGATGCCCCTGGGAAGAGAGGTGCAGCCCTGCATATGGTGCATTACTTCAGCTTTATGTATGTCTCCTATGTTGTGCCAATCAGGAGTTACATACTTGCTGCTTATTCAGTATGTTCACATTGACTGACCGAGTAGGAGCCTCCGAATGGCTGGTTTTTCTCTGCCTGCATTCCCCTTGGTGGGAGCACTGGTGTGGGTATCTCTCTACCAAGCTGCCAGTTTTCACAGAACTTGTAAGAATATAACTGTCATTGACACTTCTAAAATGCACTTAATATCAACTAAGAGCCCAAAAATTGTTTGGAGGGAGGAACATAGTGAAATCACACAAGCTTTGCTTCCTATGGAAAGCAGGCTAACCAGCAGAGCAAACACTGCTTTAAATTTGGGGGGAAGCCATTCAAAAAGTTACCTTATGAAGATGGGATTCCTAAGATTGCTAATAGCCAATAATAAAATAGTGATAGACTGGCTCCTTATCTTCAAATTGTTTACACTGTAAAATATGAAAGTCTAAAACAGTCCAATGGCTGACTAGGG